AGAATGCATAATATCTGAGAGCAAATCAGGCAAGAAAAAAGGGTTTTTGGCACCAATTGACAAAGAAGACAAGCCCTTAGGCACGTACCATGTGGATCATGTCGGTCCAATAGAACAGACAAGTAAAAACTATATCTATATTCTAGTGATAGTCGATGCGTTTTCAAAATTTGTTTGGCTCTATCCAACAAAAAATACCACCGCAGAAGGAGTTGTAGATCGACTAAGACGGCAGGCAGCAGTGTTTGGAAATCCTAAGCGCATAATATCAGATAGGGGTGCAGCTTTCGTTTCAAACTTGTTCAAGGAGTACTGTGAAACAGAAGGTATACAGCATCTTACGATAGCTACAGGAGTTCCAAGAGGAAACGGCCAGGTAGAACGTATCCACAAAATCGTAATACCAATGTTGTCTAAACTATGTCGTGAAAATCCTTGTAGCTGGTATAAGCATATTGATATTGTTCAACAAACAATCAACAGTACGCCGCCAAGAAGCACTAAAGTTTCACCGTTTAGATTGTTGACTGGTGTGGAGATGAAAATTAAAAGAATAACGGACTAGCAAGAACTATTAGAAGAAGCTGCTATAGAGGAGCTAAGTAACGAAAGAGAAGAAGTTCGTAAAGAAGCGCAGCAAAATATAGCAAAAATACAGCAGGAAAACCGAAAATCTTTTAATAAACATCGCAAAAAAGAGTCCAATTATAAAATAAACGAACTTGTAGCCATTAAGAGAACACAGTATGGTACTGGTTTAAAATTGAAACCTAAATTCTTTGGTCCATATAAAATAGTAAAGATTCAAAACCATGGTAGATATGACGTAGAAAAGGTAGGCGACCACGTAGGTCCAGGGAAAACTACAACTGTAGCAGAATACATGAAAAAATGGGAGCCAAAAGCTAATTTAACAGAAGATTCGTCATTCGGGTCGAATGAAGAGTCAGTATGGCCGAGTGTAGGAGTTGGAAACAGAACTAGGAGTGGTCGAACTTACAATCAGTTAAATTAAACAGGCGAGTATAACGTTAGCATTATACTCATTTGGTAATATAAAATCACTTATCATATGCAACCCTGCTATGGATATTTAATCCACGATAGATTTATCGATAAAAATACAAGAAGCAGAAGCTCAGTTTTTAAGCTAGACGAGTCAATGAAAAGATGTGTTCGCTGTTGCTCGTTGTCTTTGAAATACATGTCGGAAAATGTACAATAATCATAAGTTTACGCTTGTTCACCGATTTCTCTAAATAAAATAATAAGAACATAAAGAACTCAAGTGCTTGTGAAAACCATCGAATGGTCATCCCTACATATATTCCATATATAACTCAACACCCCTGCAACTACTGTAAAGGAGTCGCCGGCATTTCTAAGCATTTCCGCTTAGCTATTCAGTTGCACGCGAACTATATTTTCTGTTCGACTGAACTGCTGAGTATAATACATCGTTCATGAACGACTGAACGAGTAGCTAGACGGAGTGTATTGTTCATGGCCTACTTAACGGGTACGGAATACATCGTTCATGACCGACTGAATAGCTAAACGAGTGAACTAAATGACCGATTTAGTTCACTTATCACTGAATAAGTTCAGAAGTTCATTTAAAGGCGCGTTCAATCGAACTTGGTCTGACCTAAACGACACTACTGGTTATTAACCACTAGCAATTGCTTCTCTCTACCTCCCGCCAGCTGCGCCATGGACCAAAACAAAATTTGAGTTCCTAATAATAAACCTAGGACAAAAGTTCATTGCGGGGGGAAACAACAGAGCCTTTACGATTGGGCAAAGTTTGCAAGAAGCCATAATCGACTGCAGATGCGATGTCTAGGCAACCGGAGATGCAACATATTACTCGTACAACTCGCAACGCACCCTTAGCGCAATAGACTTCTTTATATATGGTGGCCTTAGGCAGAACTCACTCTCCATCGAGACCATCTTCCTCTTTTGGCTACTGTCCACACCAACCTTGTGCAGCAGCCAAAAGAAAAGGTCTACTGCCGGCAAATGGGGACGTTGAAAGATTCCTGGCAAATACTCAATCAACCTCGACATGATTCTGAGCTCCCCTGAGGACATCGAGGATGCTATCGATATTTTCTTGGCGAAGATTCGAGCAGAAGCCCAACTTGATTCACATGCAATAGACCCGATCCACCCATCATCAATCCATGCGGCGGCAGACCCACTCCTGGCATTGAAAAGGCGTCTACGCAAAGAGTTAGTGCGCACTGGTTGAACAAGATATACTGAAGGATATACAACAGGCTCCAAAAAGTGCTTGCGGCCATAAGCAACCAGCAGTTCAACAAAAAACTTACGCTGAACGCAAGCCCAGATTCTAGCACGGGATACAGCCTCTGGCAGCTGACAAAAAACCTAAAAAGATAGCCCGTCCGCAAAAGCCACATAAAAAGAGATGATGGTTCCTGGACCAGATGGCGCTAAGAACGCGCTGAAACTTTCGCCATGCATCTAGAAGAGCGATCAAAACCGTTTGATTCCCCACACTTTCTCCAAGAAGAATGCATAGACACAACCCTTGTAGCACCACATCAATTTGTCTGTCCACTGTCTAGGTGACCCTCAAAGAGGTCGAATCACAAATCCAAGCGTCTTAAGATAAGAAAAGCTCCTGGATCTGATGAACTGGACAGCAGAACGATAAAGCTGCTCCCAACCAAAGGCATACTCTTCATTGTGCTCATATTTCATACGACGCTTTAAATCGGTTGCTTCCCAAGGTAATGGAAAAGCGCTCTTATAGCCATGATACCAAAAACAAAAAAATCGCTCACGCAAGTCGAATCTTATCGACCAATCAGCCTGTTTCCGACCCTCTCCAAAATATTCGAAAGAATATTAATGGCCACAGTGTCGGAGCTGGATTACGTTAAGCGCATCATACCAAAGCATCAGTTCGGATTTCGACGACGGCATGGGACACCGGAGCAGCTTCGAGTTGTTGATTTAATCCTCGACAGCTTCGAGAAATTCGAGTATTGCGTGTCGGCAATCGTTGATATCAAACAGGCGTTTGATCGAGTGTGGCACAAAGGACTCATGTATAAACTAGAAACTTTGATCCCCCCTCTCAATTTAATATATTCCACAGCTTTCTCAAAAAGAGAAAATTTGTTGTAGTAGTCGACGGCACGTTGTATGGAGGCAAGGAAATCCAAGCTGGAGTTCCCCAGGGCAGCGTCCTTGCTGCATGCCTCTACATTGTTTACACAGTCGGGATGCCGACGGTGGACCCGACGATACTGGAGCATCCCAATAGCTGTAACCGCCACGTTCGCCGACGACACAGCAATCCTCTCCAAGCCACTGACCAACTTCCTGAATACCTGCACGAGTTTAAGCCGTGGGCATTCAGTGGCGAATCGCTACCAACAGACAGAAATCGGTATGCTCCACATTCGCGATCCGCAGAGACACGTCGCCAGAAGTCATCGTAGGCTCACTTGGAGCAAACACATCTCAACAGCAAGTTACAGTGTACGGCAAAAGCTAAAAAAAATTGGGCATGGCTCCTAAAGAAAAGCAGCTGAGCAATAGGTGGTGCTGCTGTATAAAACCCTACTAGCCCCAGTTTGGCGCTATGCAAGCCAAATCTTCGGCACGGCAGCAAAATCCCATTGGAGGAAAATTAGTGTTTCTCAAGTCAAGGTGCTCAGACTAGGTACTGGGGCTCCCTGGTGCATCCGTAAACGGGCCTTACCAAGAGACCAAAAAGTTTCCTTGGTGGGTGACCTTCTACGACAGCAGTTCACCAGCTACATGGCCCGTCTTTCTGCCCACCCAAACATATTGGCAAGAAGGCTTTGCAAAGGCAAGCGACGGAGACTTCGAAGGATCCACCCCATCCATCTCCCAAACCGGGTACTCAGATAAAGAAAAGCTAAATCGGATAATTATAAAATTTAATAAGTAATGTTAAATATATTAATCCCATTATTGTAAAGCTAGTTAAAGATGAAAAAAATTTGTATCAATAAAGAAGCTAATAAAAAACAAAAAAAAAACCTTATAGGTTCTGAGATCCTTGCGTTCATACATACGGGCAGACGGACGGACGGACAGACAGACGGACAGACAGACGCACAGACAGACGGACATGGCTAGATCGACTCGGCTATTGAAACTGGTCATGAATATATATACTTTATGGGGTTGGAGATGCTTCCTTCTGCCTGTTACATACATTTGCACAAACACAGGTTCAGGGTATAATAAATAAACCAATTTGAACTACCCACCAATTTAAGCCACAACTTTAATTGTCTTTTTGAGAATAAACGAATATTCTATAATAAGATCTACTGTTGAACATTTCATCAACATCAGTAAAGAAAATTGTTTTGGCTGGCCACGTTTAAGCGGCAGCTAGCGCAAATTGCAAGACTTTCTGTATACATGTACACACACATCAATGCTCGTCCTTATTGAATTCTATCTACAGTGTTTTCTGAGCCGTGTGTTTGTGCTGCTATTTAAAATATGTTTTTTTTATCCTAAGCTATCAATAGTTGTTATGGCTGTTCAGAAAGGACGATGGCAAGCATTATGGTAGGTTACGAGATGGAGTCTTATTGAGGGAACTTTTTTTTTTTTATTTTAATTTATTTTTATTACTGCTAATGCAAACGAGCTAGTAGCGCGAGATGGCTTTGGTGTTGGCAGAAGAGGGTTCAGGGTATCCCATAGTCGGGAATACTCGACTAAAGCCTCTTGCTATTTATTGAATATATGATTTGGCTTACTTTGTTAATGATATGGTTTAGTTCGTCAGTTTTTATCATGTTGCTGTTAATGTGACTTGTAGTAAAGTAAAGTTTCTTCATTCGATTTTCAAGAACTTTAATGAAGTATGGAGTATCTAAGTCATTACTTTTTATTGAGTAAAGTTTCAAATTATCAAAGATCAAAGATAATATCGATGGAATTTACAGAGAATAAAGTGGATTTTTTCCGAATATTCTTCTATTTCCCCTGTTTTGAAAAGTATGAATGCGTGATTCGTGTTTATTGATGAGTCTTCTGTATTTATACTCTAAACTTATTGAAAATGGGTAAAAAGGGTATAATGTTTTGTTGCAAATGTATATAACTGGCAGAAGTAAGCATCTCCGAACCCATAAAATATATAAATTAAGAATTTTAAAAACTCGTAGGTACCGACTGGCTTATTGTTCAAAACAACAAACTGTCAAGAACATATTTTCATATAATGTTAGCTACCCCTACTCCCAAAAATCGCTGACATTGTGCCTCGTACATGGTGTTGTACATACATATATCGGCCGGCAGCGTATTCAACTTTTGTTGTTGTTCAAAGCCCGCAAAAGCCGCTTACAGTGCATCACAACACGCCACTTATGCGTGCTTGTTTAGTGACCCGCTCTGAAACCATCAATGATAGCCTAAATGTCTCGTAGACCTTGAGTCGCTTTTTGCGTCTTGTACAATCTGACTGAGGCATAGCAAAATACCAAAAAAATAGTCACGGTCAGTCCAGATATTAAGGGCCATTTAATCAACCTCTTCTCAATTTCGCCAATGTTCCGCACATTCTCTATACTCCGTTTTTCTGCGTTATCACTAATCGTGATCACAGCGGTTTCCTCATTGATGATGATGACGCCATCATCGATGACCGTGAGTTACTCGAAATGGCTGGGCCGGGTGGTACAATGAGCTGTGCCACCAAAGTGTAGTTGTTGTGAGCGAAGCGCTGCATTTTCCAATTGGTAATATTTCATTACCGCAATCGGCTATGATGTTTTTGTCGGCAAGGTTGAGGATGGTGCTATTGTATTTTACAGGTAATTTTTTTTATATTAAACCTGGCTTAGGATATTCAGTTAAAAATGTAAAAAATGTTATTTAACAGAACGTTGATTTGGGCCACTTCCATTAAGTCAGTAATCGTTATGTTCGTAGAACGCTCGTGGATTAAATTTAGTTGGGTTGAGAATTTTACTAATTTTTAAGTTTATTATTCCAATCTTTGTGACTGATATGATTAAAGTTTCGATTTCCGATATCAATATCCTATAACATTTCTTGTGAGTAATGTTTCGTTTAAGACCTCTATATTTATTTGCCTATTTTTTAAATTTTTTATTAGATTTTTACTGCGTCTGTTAGTTTATTTAACTGTTCTTGCGATTTTGTATTGATGTTTCCCAATATATTTTTAAATTTATTTAATGAGATTATGTTGTGTAATTTTTAGACTTTCAAAGTCTTCAATGTCCGGAATCCCGCTTGTTACTTCTCTGCACATTGTCAATTTATTCGAGTATTTTAAATATTGAACGTTTTTCCGCATTGTCGTGTCTTCGTCCATACCCGGAATGTTATCCGCGTTCGAGAAGTCAGTCAATTTGATAATTGTCATTGTGAAAAAAAGAACAGTAGTCCAGATCCTGAGAAAAAAAAATATTATTTTGGCAATCTTACATTATCTTTATGAACCACCCTGCCTTTAATTATGACTGTGGTCCCCAAGTCTGCAAAGGCTTTATTATGATGCGTGAATTTCCTTTCCTGGCATGTAAAGTATTTGAGCATTGCGGTCGTCAATGAAAGCTCTCCAATGCTAATTTTGCAATTGGGTTGCGATCAGAGACGGCGAATGTTAGGGGCTGAAGATCTGTAATGATATTTAAATACTTCACTCGTATAGGTAATTTATGAGGTTCTTCAGGCCCATACTACTTGCTCTTTCGTTTGTCGCTTAGTTCTCTATCGTTTAAAGTCCTTGATATCATTGTAATGGGTTTCCGATCTTGAAATGAGACTGCTCCTAAGCCAAAGGACGTAGTCTCTGTTGTTAAATCAAACTGCTTATTGTAGTCAGGGTAGAGTAACATTACATTTTCAGAAGCAAGAATCTTTTTTAGCTTCTCAAATGATTCTCATTGTTTTTGGTCAGCATCTACGGTATTTTTTTTTTTGACTGCCCAGCGCTTTCCTTACCGTTCTTTCTCTTCAAAATATCTATATAATAATAAGCAACTGTAGTATCTTGCCAATCCAAGAAAGGACCAGACATTGAAAAGTGTGGTCGTTTGTTCATAATTACGAGTAGCTTATACCTTTTCAAGGCATATAGTAATACCGCAGCGTGACACCACGAAACCTAAGTATTCGACTGTATCTTTAAAAAAATTTTATTTTTCTCGGGAAAACCTTATGTTGCCTTCGTACAACTTATCCAAGACCCATGCTGTTTTTCCTTATATTTTTCCACTAGTAGGATTTGATGAAAACCTGACTTCAGGTTCAACGTTGTGAAGTGCTTCGCCTTCCCCAAATTTGACAAAATGGAGGTAACATTTGGTATGGGATACTTGTCATCGAAAACTAAACGCTTTTTTTATCAAAGGGTTACAGTATTAAGCATGTGCAATAGTAATAATAAAGATTATCATAATAATAGTATTAAGCATACGATATATTATTGTATTATAAAATTGTTACGTAACACCACTAACTATACAATGCATAGATATGTCAAACAGCGGAATAATCGGATCCCGATAAATCGTCAACGACTGAGCCCCATGGGTGCCCGCGACCATTTTAGTGTGCCCAGATAGAGTAAGACTGCTGAGAGTGGCAGCCGAACGCCGGCCTCGAAAGCCGAACGTTTAGTATGAAGCCGCATCCCGCTCAGCGCACAACTTCGCTGCGGCTGATGCTATTTCTAAATATATGTATGTTAGTTTTAAATCCTTACAGCCCAAATACATACATATGTGTGTATGCATGTGCAGAGTTTGCCTCGCTCCCACTCATTGCTTTGCGCGCTTGTGTGCATCTCTTTCTCTCTGCATAGCTTCTCAAAAACCCCGAGATCTACAAACATACATATGTTTGTGTTGTGTGGATGTGCGCACAAGTAGATCACGGCGTCTGTCGCGAGTCAGAGATATTTTCTTCAATTGTGTGCCATTTGTGCCTGTGGTAGCAAAAGGCACACACATTGAAATGCTCTATCATGTATTTCTTGGTCCAGTCAGGCATAATGAGAAGAATCTGATTTATTTTTCATTTAATAAAAACTTGAATGACCTTAATGAAATACCTATAATTTATATTCTAATTTTTTGGTTTACTGTAGGGACCTGTTTTGCTTAAAATCAAAAAAATAACTAAGTCGTATTCCTGCAAGGGTAAATCCTCGTCGGCTTGTCGAAGAATTCTAAGAAATTACCAAAAATTGAACATTTTCAAATTTTGCGACGTGCTACTTGTGCACACGCACACTCTTTCGAGAGAGCAGTCGTGTGATATTATAAAAGTGTTTGGCCTGTTCATATGCTAAATTGCTCTTTTCCATGCTTGTTGTTGGTAAGGGTACCTGAACGTAGCATACCTTTTTGGGCCGGCTAAGCACGCACACTTACACACTTTTCTATATGGATGGAACCATTTATGCGTTTGTGTGCCTGTTGGTTGCCTGCCTGCCAGCCCGATGCAATTTGACAAGATTTGAAGTTGTTGGCATTTCTGAATTTCGAGCTCTACACACGCTCTTTGATATGGAAAAAATGCAAGTGATCTTTTTATATACTTTTTGACATAGTAAACATTTTGGGGTTTTATTGCCATTATGGCCAGCTAAGTTGGAGTTTGCAGGGGCTGTCTTTTGATGCGTGAGCACCGCCTGCTTCGCTGGGTTTTGACCCTGGCGTTTAGCCTTCTTGGAGGGAGTTCTGCGCTGCTCTGGCATGCCATCCCTCGGCCGTTTGGGCGTGCTTGCCTCTTTTTGGCCCCCGAGCTTCGTTGGGCGCGTCTTTAGCACGTTCGGCTCCGCACGTCTGGCTAATGACGGCGTCGTTTGCGCCTCGTCGCATTTCGTTTCCGGCGCACAGAGCTTGAGCGCCACCTTCTGCAAGCTTTCTACTCTCGCGAGTTCCTCTCGCATCAGCCCGTTAATGTGGCGTTGTCCGTTGAACAGTGCCGTTAAGCCGTTTAGGACTAAGCCCATCTTCTCATCGTGCCTATTAGCGTTCTTGGCAGCTCCTCACTCGCTTTTGCCGGCGACGACGCAGCCACTCTTAATGTGGCGTTGTCCGTTGAACAGTGCCGTTAAGCCGTTTAGGACTAAGCCCATCTTCTCGATCGTGCCTCTTAGCGTTCTTGGCAGCTCCTCACTCGCTTTTGCCGGCGACGACGCAGCCACTCTTTGCTGCACTGGCGTGACCGCCTGGTGTGGCGGTGATCGCTGTGGCGCAGAGCGGCGCGCAAAGGCATGCTGCTCATCCTCCATTTTTCTATCTGGGCACCTGCTCTAACTATCAGGGCTCTACAGGAAAGTCCCTCGGTTGCCAAAGGTTTCCCTCAGGCTATTGACCGCTGGGAGTTATACCGCTCCGACTCGGTCACCAGAGCCCCGTTTTTATGGGCACCGCCGCGGCGGGGGGGTTGGAAATTGGTCTGTTCCGCGACCGTTTGCTCCTTTTTTGCCCTGGAGCCTGTACTGAGCACCGATATCGGCTTCTTTGCCTGTTCTTTCTCCAAAGCTTAAATGCTTGCAAGAACAGCGTAAGCCCGAAAGTATGTTGTACTTTCTGCCAGTTACAGCTTATCGCCTGGTTGGTATCTCCGCTACGCAGTTTGGAAGCTGGCTCTATAGTGCAGATCAGCTGGTTGTGAACTGCGCTAGCCAACACTACTAACAGCTGTTAGAGTGAATGCAACCAACTGCACAAATAGCTTTGCGAGACGGCTAATACACTTGAGTGGTAAAACTCACAAAAGCGCACAAACACGCCAAGTATACGCCTCCACTCCCCTCGCCTGGATCGTGGAACTGTAGACGCCACCCCAGGAATGGTCTGCACGGGCTTCGACAAGCCGACGATGAATTACCCTTGCAGAAATATGATTTACAATTTTTTTGATTTTAAGCAAAATAGGTCATTTAAGTTTTTACTATATATAAATAAATCTGATTTTTTTCATTATGCCTGACTGAACCAAGAAATACATGATAGAGCATTTCAATGTGTGTGCCTTTTGCTACCACGGGCACAAATGGCACACAATTGAAGAAAATATCTCTGACTCGTGACAAACGCCGTGATCTACCTGTGCGCACATCCACACAACACAAACATATGTATGTTTGTAGATCTCGGGGTTTTTGAGAAGCTATGCAGAGAGAAAGAGATGCACACAAGCGCGCAAAGCAATGAGTGGGAGCGAGCCACACTCTGCACATGCATACACACATATGTATTTGGGCTGTAAGGATTTAAAAGTAACATACATATATTAAGAAATAGCATCAGCCGCAGCGACGTTGTGCGCTGAGCGGGATGCGGCTTCATACTAAACGTTCGGCTTTCGAGGCCGGCGTTCGGCTGCCACTCTCAGCAGTCTTACTCTATCTGGGCACACTAAAATGGTCGCGGGCACCCATGGGGCTCAGTCGTTGACGATTTATCGGGATCCGATTATTCCGCTGTTTGACATATCTATGCATTGTATAGTTAGTGGTAACACTGATATCGATGACTTATTATTAAGCTATTAAGAGAGGAGGAAAAATAAATAAAATTACAATTAAAAAATTAAAATTAATAAAAAACAAGCGGCACGAAAAACATCCTAATAAAAAGGCTAAAGTGTAAGAGTCAACTACAAAACTGCTGGTTAGATTTAAATAAAACTAGTAAGAGGTTCTAGTCGGGAGCTTCCGACTAGGGGATACCCTGAACCCACTTATTCCGCCTCCAAATGCAGCTCGTGCTACGCGCTCGTTAGCTTTAGTATTTAGTATTATCTATACTTTATGGGGTCGGATATGCATCCTTTTGCCTGTTACATACATTTGCACAAATACATTATACTCTTTTACTCATTTTTAATGGGTTCAGGGTATAAAAATGGAAATGAAAAGTGAAAATACAACCGAAACAGAAATTTAAGCGAGAAGGAAGGGCTATCTTCGGCATACTACAACTTAATTTTCGACCGATCGTTCCTATGGCAGCTATATGATATAGTGGTCTGATCTTAATAGGATTTTGCATACATATGAGGAGCATAGTAAAACTAATAAATGCCGACTTTGGTCAAGATATCGTGGAAAACAAACAAATTTTCCATACAACAACTTAATTTTCGACCTATCGTTCCTATGGCAGCTATATGATATAGTGGTCCGATCCAGCTGGTTTTGACATATGTACTGCAACAGGAAGATGGACTTCTGCAAAGTTTCATAAGTTCGCATAGAAACAGACAGACGGACATGGCTATATCGACTCGGCTGTTGATACTGATCAAGAATATATATACTTTATGGGGTCGGAGATGTCTCCTTTTATGCGTTACACATTTAACGACAAAACTATAAAACCCTCTTCAAGGGTATAACAATAATGCAGCGCAGGAAAAACTAGAAATTTGTGGAATCAAAGATTAAATCGTCGGCGTCGGCATCAAGGAGACGCCAGCACGCAAATTGTAGGACGAAATTTGGGTAGACAACAACAACTATCGGACAATATTGAAAGAAAATGGCGTAGACAACGGAAAAAGTACTACAACAATATAGAGCAAACAACCGAGGAGAAGGAAAAACTAAAATAAAGTAGCGAGCGAGATGGCAAACAAATGTTGAAAAAATGTTAAAAA